TTGCGCCGCCCAAGGGCCGACCCAGCCAGTCTTCACCCCGGCCCCGACAAGAGCGCCAAGCAGGTCCGCGCGGAGATATTCCTGCGCGAGATCCGCGGCGTCTTCGGCGGCGCCTTGATTTCACTAGCGCCCTCAAGGTCGAGGCCCACCCTGGCGACGAGCCCTCCACGGTTCATTGGAACGACGCGGGCATCACGGCGCTTGGCCTGGAGCGTCGCCCTCTCGCCGAAGCCATCTCCTCTCTGCCCGCTCCCGCGGCCCAGACGCAGCGGTGTCTATGACGGCTTCGCGGGCCTCTCCTCGCTGTCAGCGTCTGCAGGCGGCGCGGTTTTGCATTTCACTACCTGGAACGCTTGGGCTCTGCTGCAATGCGGCGGGGCCAAGGGCCAGGAGAAGTTGGTTTACCTTAGGCGCTGTGCGACCGGTAGCAGCATCGTGGGACTGCAAGAAGCGCATCGCGACCGTTCTCAGTTGATTGACTTTGTGCGCAAGGTCCGCTCTGATGTGATTGTCCATTGCAGCCTTTGTGATCGCGGGGGTCGTGGAGCTGGTGGGGCCGCCATCCTTCTGCCGCCTCTCGCCTCGGATAGAGCCGCTCGGCGCTGGGGCCGATTCCTGCGCGCGCGCTGCGCGTGGGCGCGGTGCTCGGCGAGGTGCAGATGTTAATTTCTAAAATTCGTAACTGCGGCTCGTCCAGGATGGAGGTTGCCGCAGTCTTTGATCAGACGAGGTGCGCCAACCGCCAGGCTCGCCTCGCCCCCCTCTCTGTCTTCGTCGCTGTCCTCGGCGACTTCAACTTCAGCATCGACGAGGCCTTGATTTTTCACAGGCCCGAATCCTCCAAGGTCCAAGCCGCTCACGATCACAGAGCGCATGCTCCGACCTGGGCCAGGACGCTCGGCGACTTGATGTCGGTCTGCTCGGACTCTCCCACTCACTTTTGTAGACGCACCAACTCTGCGAGCTCGGCGGGCTGAGTGATGCGCCAGCTGACGGCCACGGCTTGGGCGATCGACTAGCCGGAGGATCTGAGCTCCTAGCTCGTGTCTGACCATGCCGCTGGCCATGTGGCACTGCGTCGACGTGCTGCGCGGCCGCCGGCGGAGCGCCCCATCCCGAGGCACATTTTCCATAGCCCTGTCTTCAAGAAGCGCCTCCTGGGCACGCTGAGCGACGGCGACGGAGATGATATTCTCACGCGGGGCCCTCCTGTTTCGCGCGAGCACTATGTATTTTTTGTTGAAGGAGGCTGCGAGGGGGACCCGCGACGTTCTCTTGCTCCAGGCCTCAGGCGAGGCGGAGACACTCCAGCTTATTGCCCGCAGCATTTCGAGAGCGGTCTGGCGACGAAATGTTAGACTCGCTCCGCGGCTTCTCGACACCTCAGCGCACGCGCAAGACGCTCTACTGGTCGATGGTCGGTCCGTGGCGCTACGACGTGCGCCTACTTTTCAGCAGTGGGCTGAAGGAGTGCACGAAGCTGTCCTGGAAAAAGAGATCGTTGCCGTTGCGGGTGCCTCATCGCCCCCTGCGTCTGCTCCCAGAAGCGCATGATCATCATTTCTATTGCGTGCGATGGAAGGGAAGGCTTCGATTTGGGCCCCGTTCTCGAAACGCCTGGTGCTCGCGTCTGTTGTTGGCCCAGACGGGCCCGTCTCTTCCCCTGAAGGCCGCCGTCGTGCACTGTGTGACTACTGGAAACCTATCTTCTCGGTGAAGCCCCCTGCTGAGTCGGCGACGCAGATGTGCCTCGATCGCTCTCTGAAATATGCGCAGGATCTCCAGGTTGGCGCCCCGCTGGCCCCGCATCTCAAGAAAGTCGCCAAAAGAGCTGAGCACTCTACCCCTGGTGTGGACGGGTTGCCGCATGCTGCATGGGCCGAGGTTGATTTCGGCCCCCACTTGCTTGCCTCTGCGTTCAGCTGGCTATGTCGGGGGCAGGCTCTATTCGACGCTGCCGGGGCGCTGGGCCTTCGCAATACTGACATGAAGATTGTGAGTTCGGCTGCGAATATCATCCTGAAGCCAGTTGTGGACTTTGCGGCCCCGCCTTCGCAGCGTGGATTTATTTCGGGACGTAACTTTGGATATAATATTCTTGAGCTCGACGCCCTGGGCCGCGCAGCTTCTCAGCACCCTCTCGCTCGAAATAAGTTCCCGATCCTGCTTGGCTTTGACTGCGGCCAGGCCTTCCCCGGCCTCTCCCAGCCCTTCCTCATGCAGCTCCTAGGCGCCCTGGGGCTCTGCGAGGCGCTGTCTCTCCTTCATCGGGTCCCTGTATGAAACCGCCCAAGGGGCCATTGCGGACGGGGGCGCTCTGGTGGGAGTTGCCCCGATGCTCCAGGACTTGTAAACGAACTTTGAGGGTGGCGGTAAAGGGCTAGGTCGAGCGTGCGCTGACGATTTTGGAGTGGTCTAGTTCGACTTGCCTTCATTAAGATTGTCTTTGAGGTTCTCCAGACCATGAAGCTGATCGCGGGGCTCTTTATTGAGATTAATATATGCACTGCGGTTCCCCTAGTGGGTTCGATCTCTGAGGCTCTCCGAGGCGAAGTTCACGTTCTCCTGGGCCGCTAGATTCCTGAATGGGCTGCGCTCGTCATTGAAGGATGTATGCTGCATCTGGGCATCTGGCTCGGACCTAGCGCCACTGTTGAACGGTGCCGGCGTGGCCCACTCGCCAAAGTTCGCGCGATAAGTCGCGTGCTCAGCCGCGCCGGTGCTGCAAGTAGCGTCAATTCCACACTGTGCCGTACCCGAGTTAATCCTGTTCTTTCTTATGTCTCCCAGTTTGTTCCGATGTCACCCTCTTTCCTCGCGTTCGAGAGAGGCGTCATCTCGCGGGTCCTGAGGCGCCCGATCGGCATCATCAGTAATGAATCTGTACCTGAACTTCAGTGTTGGGGGGGGGCCGCGACTGCCCTCGTGGGCCGCTCATGCTGCTGCTGCCCTACTCAGAGCTGCTGCCGTCACCTTCCGCGGCTTCCCGACCTACCTCGACCTGATGAAGGCCAAGGCGATCGGCTGGCGACGGGAAGTTGCCGACTGACTTTTCGCGGACATGGACATTCCTCTCTCCGCCACCGTGCGGACGCGCATGTGCCCCAGGTTCTGGAAGGCACCTGCGTTCGTTGAGAACGTCGATGGCGTGCTCTATCTATCCTCCGACGGCTGGGCGGTTGCCGCTCGCTCTTCCTTCATAAACGAGCTGTCCTGCACTGACCGACGCCCTCGACCCCAACGCGCTGTTGCCGTCGCTCTTTCGGGCCTTTTCGCAGAGGAGCGCTCGCTGAGCCGCGCCATCGTATGTTGCCTGAACAGGGTTCTGTGCAACTACGAGCCCTTCCTGAATCGCGCCCATTGGGAGAAGATTCGCGAGCTCATGCGCCTCCTCCCGCAGAGCTGGGCCCCAGCAGCGGTCAGGACTTGGACCAACGGCTGGCTGACGTCAGCCCGCGTCGTACACCCCGGCGGCCTGCTGCATTGTCGCTTCGGTTGCAGCCGATCTGATCGGCTGGCGCACTACCTTGCGCGCCCGCGGCTCCGTCACGCCATGGGTCGAGCGCTTGGTCGGGGCCTTCCTGTCTCGCTCCCTGCGCGTTTGGGGCTCGCGGAGCCCGAGCTCGAAAGGTTTGAGGAGATGTTCGTAGCTCACCAGATCTGTAGCATGACCAGGGAGCGCGGTGGTACTGTAGCCCCCAGAACCCTTTCCTCGCTTGCGGCGGCTGCTGTGCGATCTCTGCGTCTTTCGCGTCCTGCGCAGTCGCTGCAGAAGTGGAGCCCACCGCCGAGGGTGTTCATTGGCTCCACTCGCATCCACAGTAGTTCATCTACGTCCGAACCCAGCACGACTTCCGACTCCAGCTCCTCGGATCCAGAGAGTGGTGCCCCACGCGACGGCCCACCCTATCCTGTTCCTGCTGAGGGCCCCGGGGGAGGTGAGTCAGCGGGTTCGTCTCCGTCGGTTTGCTCCTATTGCGTGCTCTCCGACGATGTCGTTGCCGAGCGGACCAGGAGTTGAGGGCACCCTCAGATTGCCTCATCCAGATCCTGGCAGGGGTCAGAGTCTTGCTCCAACCCTTGCCCAGACGTGCTCAGTTAGAACGCAAGTCCCGTCGTTGGTGTCGGGCTCACCGTCGCCACCTGCTGGAGGCAAGTCGCTTTCCTCGTCGGGCGCTTGCATGGGCATTATATCGCAAGTCCCGTTGTCGTGTCCGGGCTCACTGTCGCCTTCTCCTGCTGGATTCGTCGTGGTGTCTCCCACGGCACGCGTTAGGGTGCAAGTCTGGTTGTCGTGTTCGGGCTCTCCGTCGCCGCTTTGCGGATGCCTCGATGATGGCCTGTTGGCCCCTGGCGTTAGACCGCAAGTCCCGTTGTCGTGTTCGGGCAACACGTCGTCGCGCACTGACGTTTCTGGCGTCAGCCCGTCGACGTCGGCGGCAGCGTGCGGGCCTTTAACCTTGCCGTCTTCGATTGCTGCTTGCGTTCCGATTTCTACGCCTGCGTCGACCTCGACCAGTGGTTCAATGGTGAGGGCGACTCCCTCGGGAGTAGGCCCCCCTCCTGTTCCCCCCCGCTCGTGTTCGCGCTGTCCTAGCCCGTTCGATGCTGTCCAGGTGCATCCTCTCAACCCGCCCTGTGTCTTCTGATCTGCCCGACCATTTCCACCGCCCCCCCCTCCTGTCCTGCGCTCCAGTCACCCTCCGCTGCTGCATTCGAGAATTTACAGAAGTATATTTTCCACTTGCCCTGTGTCGGCCACGTCGCTGAACCAGCCTGTCCTGGCCGTCGCTCCTGCATGCGTTCCTTCGCCCCCCTTCTTGTCCGTCGCTCCTGGACGCTGCCCCTGCTGATGCTGCGCCTCCCCCGCTCCTCGCCCGCCCCCGGCCACTGGCCTGGCGAATCCTTCGTTCGACGGTGCGCCATCTTGTGCCCCCGAGCTGCGTCTCGCGCCGTCGCCGCTCCTCACGAATCTCCAGAGCCCAGTGCCCCTGGATGCCTTTTCCGAGCCACGGGTTTTCTCCTCGCCCCGTCCTTTCTTGCCGCGACCTGCTGGCGCTCGCGCGCTGCTCCCCCGCTCTTCCCCGCCGAATCCTCTGAGTGAAGTAGCGGCTCGCAACGTCGATTTCGGCGAGATCCCCAGGCCTGGCGCGCCCCGCGCCCTGGCGCCCGCCGCTCCCGCCCCGCCGCCCGATGAGGCAGGAGGGCAGGCGCAGGTGGGATGAAGCCTCCTCGGTGCGCTCGTCTTCTCTTCCTTCTCCCCCTGCCCCCCCTCCTCTTCTTTTCTTGGCTGCAGCATGCCGAGGTCCCCACGCTCCGCCAGCTAGGGGCGGCGAGCGGGGCCTGCAGACACTCGCGGTTTCTGGGGGCCCCACGCGAGCATCACACGTTTTCTGTTGCTTTTCAAGGCCAGCAGGAGCGAGCTTCACTCTGGCCGCTGGCATCGCCCTGCCGGCCGTAGATACCGCGGGTTCACATCGGTGATCCTTTCAAGTCTGGGACGCGCGCGTGCGGGAAGGGTCTCTGGCCCGACTGTTTCCTCGAGCACCTCCAGGGCTGCGTCGAGCGGTCTCGACGCTGTCTGCGGGCCCTCGGGTGCCGCAAGTCTCCCAAGCAGGCTCCAGAAGCTGCCCGACAGGGCCCCCACGAGGCCCCAAAGAGACCCTTTGACGCCCCGAAAGGCCTTCGAGAAGCCGTTCGGCATACATCGGAAAACTGAAAACTCAAACCCTTGAGATATATCAACGCGTTTGGCTTCTCATGGTTCTCAACGCGATACAGCTGCAAGACGGTTTCGGACGAAGCTCTTTGGCTCCTTGCGGCTATCTTCGACGCCTCTAGTGACCTCGTCGGCGCCTCTTGAGCTAATTCGCTATCGTCGGGGCCTCTTGGGGCCTTTTTGGCTTGTCAGCGGGGCCTCCTGGCGCCGTCTTTGTCAGTTTTTGAGCCGTTTCCGGGCCCTGCCCACAGACAGCACTGGGACCGTCCCAGAGGGCTTCGATTCCAGTAGTGCCGATGACGGCCTCGGAGAGCTCCTTGTCGGCCCGATACGCCCTTCAGAGTGCGCCACGGCGTCCCTACAGACTCGTAGAGATTCCCGAGACGGCACAGGAAGGCTCCAAGAGGGCCCTACGAGGCAGTGACGCGGCGGCGACGGTGGCCACATAGTCGCCAGAGTGTACCACCTGTCCGGCGCCGCCGCCCCAGCGCCAACAGCCAGGGGGAAGCGGGGGTTGAAACGCCGAGCGCGGGCAAGGACGCCTGAAGATCAGGGGGAATACTGGAGGGGAGGAGAGGGGGAGGAGGTGGGGAGAGGAACCGCGGCCGTGGGACCTGAGCCACCGACCCCCACCGTTAGGCGCGCGCGCGCCCGCCTGGGGAGGCAAGGAGCAGGAGAAAAGAAGGAAAGGAGGGGGCAAAAGGGAGGGAAGGAGGGCCCTACGCCCTAAGAGATTTCCAACGCACGGCCACGGACTCCCCCAGCACGGGCTCCCGTTGGCGGTAGTCCGCGGGTCAGCGACAACGCTGGGATCTGCGCGCGCGAGAGAACGGCGAGCATTGGCAGCGGCCTGTGGCGCTGCTGAACCAGACGCGGGATGCGAAGTGGAAGCCCAGCGCCATTGCGAGCGACAGTGCCGTCGCCAACGCGCGCGAGAAGGCGGGCAGAGGTCTGAAGCGTTGTCGATGCTCAGGGATATCGGGACATTAAAGTTGGAGTCGGACAGCATCAGCCATAAGTGCGGCGCTAGGACGAGCGAGAAAGGTCAGCAATTGCTGGGAGCGCTGTCGTTGACCAGGGAATTGCTGGGGAACGTGATGCGGGAGACGGAGGTAATCAGCTACACGTCCAGCTTCGGCGCGTGCGGGGAGGGCGGGAATCTGCTACGCTGCCAGCGCCAGCGCCCGTGAAACCCGCGGGAAGTGGCCAATGGCGCTGTCGCTGCTTAGGAGGATGGGGGAAGCGAAATGGAAGCCAGGCGTGACCATCCACAATGTTGGCATCGACTCTATCAGGGAATAAGGATAGGCGAGCCTAACGCAGCAAACTCGTACACGCAGAACGTGGGCTGAGGTTGCATCTTGCACTGCCTGCGCGGGGCCCGCCGCGGGTGTGTGGGGGGGATCTGCTCTGGGTGGGAGGCATCAAACCTCAATCGGCGGCGAGCGAGGGGGGGAAGTGAGAAGTGTTCTATGTATGTCTTCGGGGAAGGCTTGGGAAACTTCTCAGAAGGCCGGGGGACTTCCGAGCCTTCTGAGAAGGCCCGCCCCTTCTCATTTCCCCCCTCGCTCGCCGCCGACTCAAGCACCCATTCAGTCTCCCTGAGCCGGCCCCCCCCTAACGTCCACCCTGGGCAGAAAGCAAGACGGGGGACCCCACCCTGCTTCCGACCTGCTTGGGAGGTCAGTCGGCTCATGCTCTTCCTTCTTTTCGGCGCTCGGCGGTCTCAGACTGCCAAGCAGAGCCCTCACGGCTGTCGTGGCGGGAGGGTTGGAGGGAGGCGGAGAGGGGGGAAGAAGGAAGGGGTGAAGGACGACCTCCTCATCCTCATCCTCATTCTCATCCTCCGTCATCCTCCTCGTCATCCTCCTCGCCATCCTCCTCCACCTCCTCCGCCTCCTCCTCTTCCTCCTCCTCCTCCTTCTCCTCCTCCTCCTCCCCTTCCTACCCCTCCTTCTCCTCCTCCTCCTTCTCCTCCTCTTCCTCCTCCTCTTCCTCCTCCTGCTCTTGCTCCTCTCCCCTTGAGAGGGCTTCCCGGTCGTCATGAGCAGCTTTCGGAATGGTTGCGTCGGCGTGTGCTTCGCCCTGTTGCTCCTAGGAATCGCGGCCGCCGTGTGTTGCCAGCGCTCCTCCCGCCACTCTCCTACGACGTCGCATTCTGGTTCGTGGCACGGGCCCTCTGGGGATCTCGACCCTGTGCCCTGGTGCCAAGTTCTGATCCTCAGTTCTTTTTCGACGGCCACTGCGGCTGGGGAATGGCCCCCAGAGGCTGGGAAGATGGAGGAGCCAGACGCCACGGTTTGTGCGCTTTTCGACGCCAAGATCTGGGGAGGCCGATCCCCGAAGCCAGGAGCTCAAGGAGGTGACGGCCAAGCTCCAGGCCAGCAAGGAGCGATGCAAGCACGCCGCGGGCGGGCTGGCCGAGGCCCCCCCGCCCCGCTCTAGCCCTGCCGCAGCTCCGACGGCGGTGGGCGCAGCGGCCGGTGTGGCAGCGGCAGGCAGCAGCAGCGGCGGGCAGGGGAGCGGCGCGCAGCGGAGCGGCAGGCGGCAGCATGCGGCAGCAGGCGGCAGGCGGCAGGCAGCAGGCGGCAGAGCAGGGGGCGGGCAGCAGCGGCAGCGGCAGCGGCGGGCAGCAGAGCGGCGGGCAGCGGTGCGGCAGCAGGCGTCAGGCTGCAGCAGGCGGCAGGCGGCAGCAGGCGGCAGGCGGCAGGCGCAGGCAGCAGGCAGCAGATGGCAGCAGCGGGCAGCAGGCGACAGCAGCGGATGCAGGTGCCAGGCCGCCAAGGCCACCCGCCGGTGGAGCGAAGGTGGCGGTGCTGCGCGCCTCCGCGGCGTGAAGCCGGAGAGCCTCGCTTCGCAGGGGCGCCCGCGCGATGGGCGCGAGGTTGGGTCGCGCACCGCGCGGCGTGAAGGACAGAGCTCAGCTGGCCCAGAGGTCGCCACCTGCTGCTCTCCTCGAAGGTTGGCCTCGTCCCGGCCGCCCTGGGCCGCCTCCGCCCTGCGCGCTCGTCGCCGTCCCCGCGCCGCCGCGCCCTTCCGCCTCCCCGGCGGCAAGGGCCGCGTGGCGCGGGCGCGGCGAGTGGCGGGCGGGTGCCCAGGTCACCCATAGGGGCGCGAAGATAATCGCGCTTCGCGCATCGCGGCCCAGGTCCGAGAGGCGCCTTTATCCCAGGTGGCTCCGCGGGGCCGCAAAGATAACCGCGCGTCGCGCACCGCGGGGCGCGATGCGGGAAGTTGGGTGACCTGGAGGAGCTGCCCCCCAAGTAGAAAGAGGCGCAGCCCACGGGCCCGAAACGAAGCCAGGGACAAGACGTCCACCTCTGTCGCAGCATCGGCACCACCATCAGCATCAGCACGGAGGGGAGTTTGGAGCAGAAGTGCGCGCACCCTCCGCAGGGGGTCGAGGAGGGGTCAGGAGGAAGAGCAGCAGCAGCGGCAGCAGCTCAAGAAGGAAGGGCGAGGAGGCCGGCACCGCGGCGGTGTTGCCGCATCTGCGCTGGATGCCCGTGGCACAGCCTGCGTGCACGGGCAGAGGGCGCAGTGCAGAGCCACTGGAGGCCTGCGGGTTTATTGGCGCCGCCGGCTGTCTCCGTCGGGGGGCGTCAGCGGACACGTCCGCGGCCGTCAGTTCCGTACACAGGTCGAGATCCTGATTGGGAGAAGATGTTGAGGGACGGGGCGGCGGCGAAGATGATGGGGAAGCAGCGCAGTGGAGAGGGCAAAGAGAGTGGAGCGGCCATGGGAAAGAGAGGCGTAGCGAAATGAGAGATTGGAAGAGGTGAGTTGGGGTGTCGCCCGCTGCGTAACGAATGCCCACGCCTGACCTGATTTCACCATCCACACACGCTCGTAGTTCCTGGGCTGGCTACGGTCTGCGGCGGCTTTGTATGCAGTTTCCCACTGAAGGTGCCAACGAGACAGGAAGACGGTCCGTCCCCTTCACTCCCATCCCATCCCTGACAGTCGGCTCGCATCAGCAGGTCGACGCATCAAGGTCGAGGGTGCTCTTGTGACCTCCCAATCCCTATCCATGTCCTGGTGGTATTTGCGCTCTTGGGACCCTAGGAAGGGCCTTGTGCCCTCTTGGGTGTCATCTCTTGTGAGCTCCGACTGTATCATCGCCCTCCTCCCCGCTCCTTCTCCCTCCATTCCCGAACTCTTTCCCCTGTCGTCCTCCTTCTCTGCCTTCCAGCCCTTCTATTACCCTGTGGCTTTGTCCCCTCGCGCGCTCTCGCAGGCGAAGCGTTGCGCGGGGAATGCCGCCACTACCACCACCCAATT